AAGATTTCGAAGTCTAATTGGCATTTAGCTGTCTCTGAAGCGGGATGGGAGGGACGGGAGGAACCTCCACCAGATGGGGTGCCATGCATTCATAGGTTTGCTGCGCGAATCAGAGCGGGTACCTTTCCACCGGCTCTGGCTAATCCCGTCCCTCAGCACCCAAATCGTCTAGCCTTATTCACGGCGATTGTTTTCTGGGCCTTTTTTTTTTTCCATAACGGCCCCATAAAATAAAAAGGGAAGAAAGTGAGGATTAAGGGAGAGTTAATGGCACATTTGCAAGGAAAGAAAATAATTTTTAAAAATGCAGTTGTTCAGTTATTAGAGACTTGTCAACACTATCACCACCCAATGACCGTAACCCCCCCCCCCCCCCCCCCCCCCCAAAAAAAAAAGAAAGTTAAACCAGCTTCCTAGGAAACTCAAGGCGCGGGCAGATATACCCTGAGCGGAATTACTGTTTGGCAGAACAGGTACAGAGGAGTTGCAAACAGCTTCCCCGTCACACGTTGCCTCTGCCTTCACCTCCCCGCTTTGCATGAAACGGGGCACTGTGCTAGGGTCTTCTGGCAGTTAGGAAGTGAGGTGAGGACATTTCCAGGAACCGAGCCTTTCTCTTACCTGAACCCTAGCTTCAGAGAGACCCAGCCTCTGGCTTAGTTCCTCCCTCATGAAGGCATCCGGATAGTGAGTCTCATCAAAAAGTCTTTCCAGCTCATTCAGCTGCTCTAGTGTGAAATTGGTTCTGCTTCTCCTTTGTTTAAGCTTGGTCTGTCCATCTTCATCTTCTGACTTCACATCTTCCCTCTTCTCTTTGCACTCGTAGATACCTGCCGGGAGGGAGAAGGGGAAAACGACATTGAATCTCCCCTTACACCTCTCTGAAGTTCTCTCACACAGGGTTTCCCTCCTCCCCTCTATTCGTCCTCAAACTTAGCATAACCTGCGGGGACAACCGGCGAGCGGGCGGGAGGTGCCCGGCCGGCCCCGGGAGGGCGAGAGGGGCTGGGGACAGAGCTGGGGGTCCCCAGGCCAGGTTGAGCCCCGCTGCAGGCTCCACACTGGGCAGGGGGCACCTCACCCGAGGGCCGGAGGGAGGAAGGGAGCCGCGCTGCCTTGCATGTCTGAAGCACTTCAGAAAAAATATAGAGATAAATATAATTTTATTTTCTTTCCAGGGTTAGGAGGAAGCCGTGCCGCCGGTTGGCACGGACAGTTCGGTGAAGGGGTTGATAGGAAAACCGCCGGCGCCCTGATACCTCCAGGCGGTGGGAAGAGGCGGGGGAAGGGGGCTTCTCCGTCGAGAAGTTTTTTCCCAAGGTAAAGAGGGTTATGCAAGAAGCTCCCCACTGCTGTCATAGTAAAGCCATGGTGAAAGTGTCTGCCTCGTTAAATAAACTTTTCTTGGGCTGGAGACCGTCCATCCGCCTCCCTCTTATCACCCCTCCTTCCCCCAAAATACTTGCCAGCGGCTCGAAACCCCTGTGGCGGTGAACCCACGAGGCCCTGCACGGGGCAGCACAGTCGAGGGCCGTAGGTGACCCCCAGCCTCTCCAAAAGAGCAGGAACCCTCTCAGCCTTCATGGAGTCCAGTGGGGCTCGGGGAGAGTTTGCGACCAGAGGCGGTCGCTGTGCATGCTTGTCCCGAGCAGAGGGGAGGAGGGCTAGGGGGGCAGCGGGTATAACAGTACCCCTTTTTTGTCTTGGGGAAGAGGATTTCTTTTGCTTTGGCAAATTATTTCCTAATTTTTTCCCCCTTTTCCTTCATACCAGGAGCCCTAGGGCACTGTCCCTCCTTTAAATCCGGCTAACGAAAAGAGGAAGAGTAACGCACACTGCTATAGGCTGAACCGGTTCCCCGGGATCCCCTGCCTGCCTGGGGCGCCCCGTCGGGTGCGCATCCAGCGCAGGCACCGGCAGTCCCGGGACGAGCCTGCTCTCACTACCTCTTTTGTCGTGCCTTTCCTTCTGGGTGGTGTGGAGCCGGGGGGGGAGTCGCATCTGCGATGCCGAATTAAATCCGTTTTCCCTCACCAAATACACATGTATTATATACATATACATATATATATTTGTATACACACAAAAATATGTGCATGCACATATATTAAGCTATATACTTAGGGGCATCCCAAAATGCAAATGATAAACTGCAGATCGTAAATTCATTAAAAGTAATAGAGCATCCTGAACTGCATCTGGGCTTAAGTAAGACCAGACCCAAGAGGAAGCGCTCGTTTTCACTTCCAAAATGAAAACTGTCCCTGGCCGTGATCGTTCCTCCGGACTCCGGGCTGATACCAGCTGCACAAAATTTTGGGTAGGGTCTGGCCTCTGGTGAGGGGGGGTATTCGCTGGTTGGTTTTAATGGCGTTTTGTTCGCATTTCTCCTGTAAGGGGAATCCCTATGAAAAGACGAGGGTGCTAACCCAGGAAATGTCTAGGGGAAATCAGGCGCGTTCAAAAGCTGTCTCTTTTCCGAGGCTACAGCATGTCCGTGATAGGTATAAAATATTAACTAGCATATCGGTGGGACTGAAATCACACGCCGGAATCAGCTGAAATTAGACTGAAACCTGGTATGAATTTAAACTGTCACAAGCATCTCAGCTCTTTCCAACTCCTCCCTTCCGTCCCCACCCCCAGTCCCTCTCCGTAGATTAGATTAGCTAAACATACAAGCCAGAATTTCGATTCAAGGGGGAAAGAGGGGCTTTTGTTTTTTTCCGTTCGTTCCCGTTCTATTTTTTCTTCCTGAAGCATGCCCTGCTTTCATTTTTTAAAATCATCTCCTGCGCAAATGATTCCTCTAAACTGAACACTCTCGTTTTGCAGTCTCTCGATCAGAGAAGAAAAAATAAGCAGCGCTGAGTGGTACTGGCTTAGCTAGAAATACGGGTACTCGGATATGTGATTATACCCCATTCCTCTGTTTAGGGAGGGGAGTAGAAAAGAATAGGATATTAAATAAACGTTTGGACTGTAAATTAAATCGCCCAATGTTATATTAAACAAGATCAAACAGTAGGAAACAGCTGAAAGCCTGGTTGTTGTTCCCCAACCTATTAACCGGGTTTTATTACCCCAAAGTAGTCAGTAGCTCCCCGGGCAGGTCCACCTGTCTAACTTGCCTAGAGACACTTTCTCAACTTTCTAATCCCCTCTCCTTCTTATTCTCCCCTTCCCCTGCGAGCCTGTGCGGGATTTTTAGATGGCTTCCTTTAAAAATATATATTTTTAATTTAATTTTCTTTTCGCTAAGAGAAGGAATGGCGTTTTGCCTCTGGGGTGCAGTGCTGCTTTGGCACAGGTGAGAAGAGAGGTAGGGGACCGAGGGCCTTGGCAGCCGGGCCCGATGGTGGCTCTCGGCACAGGGATGCTCTGTCTCACCGGGCCCGGGCAGCTGCCCCACAGTCAGGCTCTTCTCTTCCTTCACCACGCCGGCCGGAGCCTTTGAGTAGGATATGCTGACCGACACAAGACAAAATGTTCAGGGAGAGCCTCTCTACATCCCTCTTTCTCCTAAAAGCAGCAGCAGCAGCATCCCGACGGCCCGGAAGCAGGAAGAACAGGTCTCCTAAGGCATTAAAACTCCCCAGACAAGGTTTCCTCGTACAAAAATATACAGATAGACAAAAACGTCTGACGTCCTGCGCTACCCCCTTTCCCCGAGGCGAGTGAACGCCTAACGCACCGGATCGATTTCGGATGTGAACGGGGGCTGGCGGGGGGCAGGACCGAAGTTGTGACTTATTTTTCATGGCTGCTTATTTTTCACGGCATACGCTCACGTTATGCATGCAGGAGTACGTGTTTCTAAGCGTATGTTCCCGCCGCTGCGGGAGGGAGGTGGCCGGAGGAGGGAGGCAGGATGCAGGACGCGATCCCACTCGCCCCGCCGGGGCCGGGACCGGGGCCACGGTGACCGATTCGCCCCCGCTGTGGAAAGCCAGGAACGACCGGGAAGGGGGTCAGGGCTGCCGGCGGGAATCACGGGGCCGAGGGCTCTCAGTCCCGCTCTTACCTTCCGCCGTCCTGCCCGTGTTGAACTCCTTCAGTTTGTCCTTGTCGCTCTCTACGTGGTCTTTGAAAAGATGCACCGGGCAATGGTTGCTGCTCTCGGTCATGTCCTGTAGGTTAGGGTCAGAGTTTCCAAGCTCCCTAGAGCGAGCCAACCCACTCTCCAAAACTTCCCTGTACGTGATCGTCTCCTTCTTGTTGCTGCTGCCACTGCCGCTGCTGCTCTCTTTGCTTTTCTGGTCAAAAGATTTGGATACAAAAGCCGTAAGTTCTTCCATGGCTGCCCGATGATCTTATCCACAGAGATCCACTTGTTTTCAATCGGAGATGTGGCCGTCCTCTGCACGCTGTTTTTGCACGTAGAAGATGGGCTGTATAGGGTTAGATCACTCCTGCTGTTATTTATGCCTTTCAATTTGAGATCACACTATTTATACATGGCTACCTCAGCCCAACCCCCAGCTCTCCCTGTCTCCAGCAATTACTGACTGCTCCATAGTCGCAGGCGGACTCCGAGCAGCTATCTCCCCCACCTCAGTCCAGCAATTGGCTTTCTTTTCATTTCATCACTCTTTGGCATCTTTGCACCTTGATTTAGGGAGGCAAAGAGGCAGCAGTGAAAAAGAGGGGGAGAGAGAGAGGGGGAGAGAGGAATAAAAGCGAGGAAGGGGGGAAGAGGAAAACATGAAAATAGGTATCTGCATTCTATAAATGGGTTGCAGAAATGAAAGTCGAGGAAGATTTAATTGATTGTAAGGACATCCTGTGCGTGGCAACACTGTGAGTAAAAACGGACCCATAGCTAATCAAATAACTGTGCTCCTGCAATTAAATGTATGGCTGTCAAGAGGAAAAGAAAATGAGTGTTCAATAAAAAAGGTAATGAATAAAACGCCGGAGATGTGTATTTGTTGTAATCATTGGAAATTTTACCTGATTTGCTATTTAACTAATTTCTCTTAATTAAATGGTTAAGATAACCGGTGAAACAAAAATGCTGTTTTAAAAGTGCTGCCTGTTCTGGCTGAGGGTGGGTGAGTGGGTGTGCGGAAGGGGCCGTGTGCTGCAGCTAAACAAGTTGCGAGGTGCCTCGGAGATCCGTGTCCGTGCGTTCGGAGGATTTGGAGGGGGTTGCTTAGCCGGAGGGGTGGGGGGTATCCATAGGTAGGGGGTCTCTCCAGATGCGTGTAAACATTGCAGGGTCTGTTTTCTTGTTTACTGTTATTATGTTATGTGAAGATACTGTAGGGGAAAATTAAAATCTAAAATGTTTATTTGGATGTAGCGTTATCCAGTTGCATGCAGCAGAAGGGTAATTTGTTAACATGGAAGTTTTTACACTACAAATAGAGCATTAAGCCGTTCTTTTTTTTTTCTTTTTCCAACGAAACATACCCTACTGGATTTAAGATAGAACTGGTAATAATTTCCCCACTTTGTTCTTGGTAGGCTGCAGTTATTTCTTTTGTACTTCTGGAATAATTATTATTCTGTGTGCTCGAATAGCTGCCTGAAATTCGTCTCCAGATAACAGCGCCGGTATTTCCAGCGCCTCTCCGCACCTTTTGATCCCCACGCGGAGTCGACTTTCCAGCTATTTATTTCTATTTCCTCTCCTCAGGCTTTAACGAGAAGGGTTATTCGGTATTTGGTGGAATTTTTGTCTTCTGGTCGTTAGGCTTTTTACGTCCTTCTTGTTCCCTCTCTCCTCGAGTTTGAGATAATCAGAGCCCATCATCACGCCACCCTCTGCTCTGAATCGCAACCAAAGCAGGCTCCTTGTTGGAGCAAGGGGCCATTGTTTCTTTTCCGGGGGAGTGTGGGACTGCTCTGAAAATTAGCAGAACATTAAAACACTAAAAATACGTTTAATTAATCCAAAGGTGCCCCCAGCACAGAGTTAACACCTCCACAGGAGGAGTGGAAAAAATAATAATCGAGGAAGCAATTAATAAAAGGCTTAAAAAAAGATCAATCTCCCCCTGTGCGAATTTAAAATGATTATCTAGAGGACAAGGATTGATCATTTGATCTCGGCACTGCAGATATCCCTGACATTTATTATATTGTTGTGTCTCGGTGGCATCCTTCCACCAGAGTTCGTTTAACAAGTGAGGGAGCCGAGGAAGCCTTACAACTTAACAAACAGGTCTTGTCATCGCAAACGCCAATCAAATCCGAGGCTCTAATGTATATCACACGGCACCACATAAATAATAAAAGCAAAGGATAGACGGAGAAGTAACGTATGGCTGAGGAAAAATCCCGGGATGACACGCTGCTTGTGACTCTGTCATGCAGTTTGCGTGTATAAGGGCTCGTGGTGGTTTGTTGCACACGCTGGTGCGTGGTACGAGGGTGTCACGGACACGAGGGGACGCGGGCACCGCTCCCGCGCGGGAGAGTCGCCGTACCGGGGCTGAGCCGCCGCCGTGGAAACTTTCCCCAGCCCTCGGGTCGACCAGCACCGATCCCCACCATGCCCAGCCTCCCTCTGCCGCCCTCGCAGCAAGCAGCAAACAAGGATAAATATTTACTGACTCCGCGTCCCCAGCCCCGCAGTGGCACGGTGTGCTTCGGCTTCCTCGAGCTGCCGGAGTTTGCACCAAGTCCGCCGGATCTCCCCTTTCCTCCCCCTCGCCCCCGTCCGGCTCTCCTCCCCGCAGCTCCCCCCTGTGCCCAGCCCCACGCCTGCAGCCCACGAGAGCGCGGGGCCGCGCTTCTCCCGGAGACCCCCGGGCCCCGCCTGCCACCACCAGGGCTCCTGCCCCCGAGGACAGGGGCAGAAATCCAAGCCTCCTCAGACAAATCCAAGCCTCCTCAGACAGAGGGAAAAAAAGCTCTGTTGCCTGTCCCCCCCTCCAAGCTTCCTCCTGCTTCCCGGCAGCGCGGAGACGCCCGGAGGGAAGGCTGGATGCCCCCCGCTTTCCGCAACCCTCGGGGCGCAGCTCGGCGCGGGGCAGCCACGGGGCGCACAAGTTGCGCCGTGGCCCGCGGGCCACCGCCGCTGGCCGCCCTCGACGGCAGCAGGAAGGCCGCCCGAGGGGAGCCTTCCAGGCGGGGGGAGCTTGCCTCTGACTCACTCCGAAAGCGAGAAGCAAAACAAAGCACCGGAAAGGGAAAGGGAGAGGAAACAGGGAAAGAAGAAAAACAAACAAGGGGGGGGGGGGGGGGGGAAAAAAAAAAAAAAGGTAGAAAAAGAAGCGGTGCAAATCTGAGCCCTCCGGGGGATCTGGTCGCCACCCCACGCCGCGGAGAGCCGCGGGGCAGGCGGCAGAGGGCGCGGCAGCGCGGGCAGCCCTGCGGGCGCGCACGGCCCCACTGCGCGCTCCGCGCACCGAGGATTTCTGTGAGGGATGACGGGCCCGTCCCGTCCCAGCGGGCGGCAGGGAGCGGCGGGAGGCGGAGAGAGCCCCCGGACCCCCCCTCTTTGTGCAGCCCCCGGCCTTGCGGGGACCCAGGGCAAGGTGATGCCGGTGAGAGGAAAAGTGAGGAACAATTTTGACCTCACTACAAACTTTGACGGCGGGTTCAGAAAGGAATTACACTTATTGCTGCTTCTGATAATGGTCCGGAGAGAAGAGATGGAGGGAGGGATAAAGGGAAGGCGAGAGAGAGAGAGAGAGAGAGAGAGAGAGAGAGAGAGAGAGAGAGAG